TTCGAGTCCATATTTATGTTGTCAATATTTCTCCCTCGTTCGTTTCTGATTTGCCTGGCTGGTATTGGAGCCCTGGAAGAGAAGGCGGTACGGAGGGTACTATCATCCGCGAAACTGTGTACTGGACATGAAGTTGCTTCCAACAAATCGTTGATATGGAGTAGAAATAGTAACCAGCATTTATGTTAAGAGAGTCAGAAAAACTCCGTGGACAACTACATGGAGATACCTGTTTGAGAGAAAACTAGCTAGTAGAGAACATTGCTGGGGAGGCAAGCCATAAGATGGAAGCTTGGTGACGAGTCCGTGGTGCCAGATTCGATCGAATGCCATGGAGGTATCAAGTGCCACGGCTAGGGTTTCACCATATTTTCAATAGATTACTGCCATATATGTGAGACGTAAGCGAGTAGGTCACCAGTTGATCTCTGATGACGGAAGCCATATTGCCTATCGTTGATAATACCTGAATGTTCCAGGTATTTCATGAGTTCGATGTTGATAGCTTTCTCCATGCATGATCTTTGAAATAATAGATAGCAGTGCGATCGGTCTTTAGTTGCTAGGTAGGGTCTTTTTGCCTTTTTTAGGAACTGGTTGTACTCTTGCAATTTTCCAGTTGAACGGGAATATATGTAATTAGTATCGATATTTTAGGGCCTTATACACCATCTCACAATGTTCATGAATAAATGATAGGTTGTGAAGATATTTTTACAAAATGGGTGGAAGTTATATGCACAAGTAAATCCTTGGTTTCTACTATTATTCGATTTCTAAAAGACGATGTTTTTACTTGATTTGGATATTGTAGAACTATAATTTCAGATGATGGATAACAATTCATATAAAATGTTTAGACTCATTTTTGAAATAAAAATCATATTACTCATTTAACAATAACAGCTATCATCACCGATAGAGTCCGGTAGAACGTAGAAACTAAAAAATTAAGAAATTATTGAGAGCTCTTATTATAATAAACCGCGATCCACATGATTGGGTAAAGTTATATACTGCCTCGTGCCCTTTTTGCATTACGTTCTAGGACAAATGATGCTACTGATGGTCTCACGCCTAGTGAGGGCTTGCTGGGTTTCAACCTCGCACTTCTCGGCGAACGAGAAGATCCATAACTTCATCAAGCCATCTAAAATCAAGACGTTCCTCCTGCAGACCGTTGGGATGATGTCAGAACGAATATCTTCAGAAGTATCCCATTGACGCCCCACCACCTATTATATTTCACGAAAGTGATCAAGTTTACGTACGAGAGCTTCGCCCTGCCAGAGATAATCCATTACAGCCGAAATAGGTCGTGCGAGGTACTCGAGGTCCATTTCAATTCCATTCACACGATTGAACGAGATAATGTACCTGTTAAGGTACATATAGATGATCTGAGGCCAGTCCTACTAAATGAAAATCTTTGCAATGAACATCATAAAGAGGCAGTAGATCAATCAGAAGATGATGAAAATTACCCTGAAACCGACAATTACCCAGATAGCGACTATAGCCCAGAAAGTGACTTTTATGATTCATATGAGTGACACTTGTATCATTTTTTTACCAAAATTGCATATAGACTGCTAAACTATTTTGGCATTCATAAAATTGACAAGTAGATGGACGAAATATTTGTCATATTTTTATTGGACAATTTCTGCTTAATTCGCAAGTAGATGGATTAACTATTTGTCATATTAGTATTGGACAATTACTGCTTGGAATAAGTGATTTATGTTTCAAGAAATGAAATATTTGCCAAGTAGATGGATGAACCCTTTGTCAAATTTTTATTAGGCAATTACTCCTTGGAATAACGAAGGAATGTTTCAAGATGTAAAGTATTTGTTATGTAAATAGATGAACTGCTTTTGACAATCTCCCTGAATAACTTACTTTTTCTACTTGGATTGAATGGAAGATTATTTTCAAAGATCAAGAATTTGTCAGCCAAGTAGACGGACGAACTACTGATGTTCAACCAAACAAGACGTTTACTTATTTCAGAATAACTTGAGGTATTATTGGTTATTTCTATATCACCCAATTACCAATCAAAAAATTCGTACCTTAAACGTATATTATTTTCCTTTTCATATATATTATACAGTTGGACATGCTGTATAATGATTATTTATCATTGAACCCGTTGTATTACTGTTGTGTCATAATTAGGAATATTTATCCTGAACTTCTTAAATGTACTTATATACTCATGATTGTATATCATGATGAATCAACAACTGTGATGCTCAGTGATACATTTTGGTATTATATAAGACACTGATGTATCACTTAACGGAAAAACTTGATGTACCAACCAACTGAAAAAATGTGTGAATATTGTGATGGTCTTGACGAGGTAACAAATTAGTTTCTTTTTCAATGTTCTTACTATTTCAACTAATAACAATTTCAATTAGATAACTTTTGAAAGATATTGTGAGTAAATATCTGATGTTCGTTTTTTTTTTCAATTATTTTTTATCTCTAAAGGATTCACTAAGCTCATGTTGAACTTAATGTATTTGTTTGTTCCAGATTTGTATCGTCTAATTTTCAATGAAGTATAACTATTGGAAGATTCATATGTATTTTGTTTTTGTTTTTCTTATTCTGGTTCCCACGAAAAGGGATATCCTGTAATGTTCAGAGAACATCGTGAGAACCAAGGGAAATGAGGTAAGAATTGGTGTTTCTGGAGGTTATATGCCTCGGGAAACACCTCCCTTGGCAATGTGTTCCAGAGCCTCGCTGTTCGTTGGATGAACGAGTCTTTGAAAACAGATATTCTGCAGGCCTCCAAAGTGACCACGAAGGGGTGCAAAGCCTCAACTCGACGGGTTAATCTCGCGGGTACTGCCAAGGGAGGTACAATTGTTGATATTTCAGGAGAGCATCGTCAATGAAAATATCTATGAAATAGAGCCAGATCGCCAACTGCGGTGTTCCAGAGAAGTGAGTGAGTTTGTGAGCGAGGCATCGCCCACGAGACGAATTGCCATTTTTTGGACAGAATCGAACAGTTTCAGGACATGTTTGGATGCTGCACTCCAAATATGGAAACAGTATTCTAGGACAGGTCGGATCTGTGCCTTATAGGTCATAAGCAGCTGAAAGTGAAATAGCTCCTGGCCCGATACAGGAATCCAAGTTTGTGGGATGCACTTTTAGCAATTGATCTCACGTGATTTTCCAAAGAAAGGTTATTGCTGATAATAATACCAAGCATCGAAATGGATGTCTTCAAAGGTATGGTTACTCCTAAAAAGCTTGTTGGGCACAGTGAGATCGGCTTTTCTAGAGAAAAGGCATGCTTGTGTTTTGTTTGCATGAAATCTCGCATGAAATTCTACAAAGTTTTTGGATCCCCATTCGAAAATTGTTGCCTCTAAAGGATTCACTAAGCTCATGTTGAATTTTATGTATTATTGTTTGTTCCAGATTTTTTATTGTATGTTTTTTAATGATGTATAACTATTGGAAGATTTCTATGTATTTTGTAATGTTTCAAAACGTACGTATGTCTGCAACGAACTTAAAGAGGGGGAGTGTTATAGATAAATAATATCCTATAATAATGAAAGTACGCCTTTGATGCTCGTTGCCCAACATTCGACTGAAGTGTGGTATGTTTTGTGAATGAAGGTACGTAGCTAGCCTCGTAGAAAGACGGTCATGCGCACATCAATAAAAGGATCTAGTCTCTTACAAGGTATTTCTCGCCTCCATTCTTTTGGAACCGTCCTCTACTTGCAATATTTTTATCGGAAAAAGATGTGTATATGGTGAGCAAAAAACTTTAAAAATAAAACCTTATTTTTTTCTTGATATTTGATAGTGAAAATATGCTACAGAAAGCAATAACATCAGTTAGGATGTAGTTATTCATAAAAAATCATAATTAGTTCACTTTGAATTACAATTCAAATGTTCAACGTTTTAAACCTGAAACAGAAATCACAATTGTTAACAATTGGTGTTCAAAAATAAAGAAAAACTAAAATTGTGAAAATTATATCAGAGATTTCTGAAGAACATTTCAAGTGGAAGTATTTATAGAAAAGTGAAAGGTCGCCGACCTTTCTACGGTGTTCAAGTGTCAAAGTGTAAGTGAGAGTGGGATCACGTGCTATTGTTTCGATATCCATAGCACAGTTTCATGAAAATATTTGGATGAGGATTGAAAATATTTTTTTTCAAATCTCAATTATATGAGTAGATAGTGGATTGAAAGTATGATTGTGATATATTGTTGGATAGGTAATTTTCAACTGAACCGTAATTTCTAGAAAAAAATATGCTGCGTGTGTCATAAAAAAAATCGGTGCACTTCCGGTCAAACCGCAAGTGTCATAGTTGGTCTAATACTAGGAAAAATATACACTCATGAATTTAAATCGTTGTAACAAATTTGAAACCTCTATTCAAAATAACAACGAAGATACAGGGGGGTTAATTGGTTCCGCCCTGGTAAACATATATCAAAGATATGGAACAAATTGAATATAAGACGCTGCAAATACGAAAACCCAATAGTATATCTATATAACTCACCTATGGTGAAAACAGCTTTATTTGCACTTTACAGATCTCCTAAACTTGACAGGCATTAGCTGCGCGGTTAGTGTCCTTCACGGTTGAGTGAACATACCTATATATAGTATATATAGTATATAAGCATCATTCTAGAATAGGATATTTAAGTTTTTATCTTCTCCTGAAAATGCTAACATAGTTAGGGAAACGCGTGTTGAGACGCTGAAAAAATCGGTTTGGTTAGTGATAAAACAGTGTAGGGTGATAATCATTCCAAAGGTTCCAGTCTTCAATATATAAGATTGTGATACTCCATTTACAGTTCTTTTATCGTAATCTAATGATACACACAAGAATTGATAAATCTAGTTAAATGTTTTATTGAATGGTTTGTCAATCCACAGTAGAAGAATAAACCACTATAAATGAAACATAAAATGAGCAACTGAAACACTGTAAAAGCAACAAGGTGTATTTACAATGTCACACTTAATATTGCAAAATGCGAAAAAAAAATTAACCATCTATTTGCTAGATAGTAAAGAGAAATAATCGAAAAAATAAATAAAATGTACAAATACATACTGCTACAACGGATCCGATTTCCATCAATGATCATAATCGTGATGTATTGAAGTGAGTTGCAGTACAATGACAGTTGAGATGTCGAGAGATAGATCACGTTTGTTATCAATATAATTATGGGTATAAGTAATATTTAATTTATCACCATGCATATTAACAAACGTGATTGATCTCTTTACCTAACAGATATCATTGTACTACAACCTTTTTGAATACATCACAATAATAAATTCATAACAATATAAACTCAAGACATCATCATGTGCGCTAATATCCAATGTATGAAAATTAGAAAAGTCGTCACAAATCCTTCACGATATATTGATTATTCATCTATCGCACTAAGCTTCATTAGTTACGGTTGAACCAAACTAACACTAAGCAGTCTTACAACATGAAGATGTATGGTTCATAGAACCCAACAGTCTCTCTGGTCTCATCCGAGATGGGGTAGTAGACCACCCACTTTGTTATAAACACCATGACACTGGGAAAATATGCAACACATCAACAATAACAAAAAGAAAGAATTTTGGTTATGAAATAATCGGGCGCACGAAGATTCAGAGTGCATTTCGATTTTATGCAGTTGTTCCATTGACCAAGGGTTCCTTCAACTTCAGTTCGTTTCTTCTTGGTGGAAGAGGTCGACTGGTTCGATTTTTAGAGTCTCTTTGGGTCTTTGACACACCTTCTTGTGGTCCGTTCTCATTGTGAGGGATTTCAGGCATTCCACGAGCAGTATGGTTGTTAACTGAAAAAGAAGAACACAAACAATTAGATGAAAACAAGTAAGTTACTGCAGTTTTTCTTGATCTTAAACGTGCATTTGAAACAATTGAAATGGACTTTTTATTACAGAAACTGGGGTTTTATTACTGTTCGAAATTGGATGAAAAATTATCTTGAAAATCGGAATCAAAAAACAAAAATAGGTTCAAGCTATTCCAATACATTGAGTAATAATATTGGAGTATTTCTAGGCAGCGTCTTGGGGCCACTTCTGTTTATTCTTTATATAAATGAAATTCAAAAAACAGTTATAAATTATATTCAAATCACAGTTTGGACCAAGCTATATTGGAAATGAACAACACATTAGCCAATATTGAAATGAACTTAATTTAAATACTGTATGTAGGTTAATCCAGGAGATGATACATTCATTATTCCAGATTATTTGGGATTCTCTCTCCTCGTCTCTATGAAATAAAGATATCAATATTTTTTCAATATATGTGTAGTAAGGGCAAATCAGATGATTTGCCCCAAAATGTCACTAAAATAAGTTTCCTACCAGAGAGCCTAAAAGAAAAATGCACTAGCTTGTGAGTGACAATTTGTATTGAAGGAAGTTTGGAGAAGAGAAATAAAGGTATATAGAAAAAATATCGACTTTTTACTCATCAGAGAACTGGAAAGTGTTCAGAAAAATACGAATTTACCATACAAAAATCCATTTTTTGAGTTAAAAACGGCAGCAGATTCGTTCCTGAAACGTCCAAAGATAAGTAAAAAGTCGAATTTTTTTCTATATACCTTTATTTCTCTTCTTCAAACTTTTTTCAATACAAATTGTCAGTGACAAGCTAGTGAATTCTTCTTTCAGGCTCTCTGATAGGAAAATTCTTTAAACGCAGTGACATTTTGGGGCAAATCATCTGATTTGTCCTCACTTCACGTAAATTGAAATAGTATTCATATTTTTTTTATAGAGACGAGAAGATAAAATCCCAAATAATCTGGAATAATGAACTTAAATTAAATTGATCGAAAACCTAGTCAATGATTGTTACAACTAAATATAATAACATACTTGTGAAATCGATTGACATAGTGATCGAAAATACATCTTTGAAGATTGTAAAAGAATTCAAGAAACTGGGATGAAACTTCGTATCTAAGTACCCGATGTGTTCCTCCATTGAATGACTACTTTACCGGTTACATCAACTCCTTAGATTTTGATACAGGGTGAATCAAAAAATCATAAATAACAACACCATATATGAGATTTTGCGTTCAAATTTCGAATAGGAGTAGTTCAACTATGCTTGAATTGAATAGGCTAGTCACAGTTTCGAAAACAAAAAATGGAATCCTATTAGTTTTTGAAATTTTGACCCTTTCAACAAACGAAAATAGGCTTTGAAAATCTGAATATTTCAAATATTTTCACATTCTCGAATAGAGCTTGTTGAGTACTATATTATGGAATTTTTGTTTTTATAAATCGTTTGACGGGTTCCAAATTAGAAGGATGTTGCAAGTTGAAATCGCAAAGGTTCATTTCCTCCCATGTGTTCAATTCCCTCCGTTACGCGTCGTGGATCAAACTTCACAGGCGGTAGAAAATGGATACTTGATATACGGCTGTATCTAAATAACATCAGAAAAAATTCAAAAATTGTTTCCTTGTGATATTCTAGCAAATAAAATTCATATAAACATGTGTCCTAACTTGCTCCGTTTTTGAGATACAGGAAGTTGAAGTTGGAAGTATCAATTGTTTTTATTTATAGCCCCCCTGTGTAAGCTTTCATGGTGCCAAAATTCAGTATGGATGGCGACTGAGAAGGCCCGATATTTCAAAATAATTATAATTGGGGTTATTGAGTAATCTCAATGAAAGTTTGAAAACACCTACAATAAAATTTGGAGTTAAATAGATTTTTTTATTGTTTTATCAAAAACTATATACAAATATCATACAGGGAATAAAAAGTTGTTATTTCAATAGTTCAATCTGATGAAAATATGAAACTCAGAAAAACCGGTAGCGTACAATGACATTCACCATGAGTATCGATAAATTTACCCACTGTGACGCTGGAAATATTATTTCGAATCTAATTGCACTAGAAGAAGATCCATATTACTATTAACAAAACTACAATGTTTTATTGAAATTGATGAAAAGACAATTGAGAAATGAATAGAAAAACATTTTTATGGAAATATTAGTGCCCTGTATCTCGAAAACGAAGCAAGGTAGAACAAATGTTTATATGAACTTCATTTTCTAAAATATCACAAGGAATCAGCCCTTGGTTTTTTTCGGTGTTATATAGATACACCATGTATAAACAGCTATAATCTGATTTGAAGGATCATCGCAGAAATTCGATAAAGAATATGGAAGTGTAGATGCAAGACCCAGAAATGAAAAATTATAATCAACTAAACATGAATATGTAATGAACTTCAAAATATTTCATGTAGTAGCCACGTCTCTAGTAATTGGAGGAGTAGTGGAAATCTTCATCATAAAATGACAGAAGGTAGCTGATGATATGAAATTGCATAATGTTATGAATTAATTGAATTCAATCTAACCTCTATCTGCACTAGGAACATCCTGACTGTCCAGAACAGTTTCCTCATCATCATTGGTGCGCCTCCTATCATCCCTTCGACTATCTCTGCGTCCTCTTCCTCTTGGGCCCCCATAATAACGTGGTGGAAAATCATGCGATCTTTCATCAGCTGTATCAGGTGTCTGATGACGGGTACCTATAAAAAAATACCAAATCAACATACTTATCTAATATGAAGTGGATGAGCATGTAGTTATTTCTTGAATAATTGATCCTGGAAATTCACTTCAACGTAAGACTTTGAATATGATTATGACAAAATGGTTCTAGAATTCTTTCTCTGCCTTGAAAAAGTTTGTTGCTATGCTCCATGTAATAATTCGAATTGAAACAAACTTATCTAATATGAAATGGATAAGCTTGTAGTTATTTCTTGAATTATTGATCCTGGACATGTACTTCAATGAAAGATTCTGAATAGGATTATGACAAAATGGTTCTAGAATTCTTTCTCTGCCTTGAAAAAGTTTGTTGCTATGCTCCATGTAATAATTCGAATTGAAACAAACTTATCCAATATGAAATGGATAAGCTTGTAGTTATTTCTTGAATTATTGATCCTGGACATGTACTTCAATGAAAGATTCTGAATAGGATTATGACAAAATGGTTCTAGAATTCTTTCTCTGCCTAGAAAAGGTTTGTTGTTATGTAATGTTTCATGTAATAATTTGAATTGAAATGGTAATCAAAATTGATAATGACTTTGAGTAAACACATTATTGGATTATTTGAACTTTGCCTGAAATCGGAACGAATTTGGAGAATAAATATATGTTTCACATGGCAGAAGAGCAGATTTTCTGGATAGGAGAACAAATAATTTTCTCCACGAAAAATAGTATCTGAATTACGATTCAATTGAAACTTCATGGTGAATTCCAACTGTAGCAAAATATTTTTTTTGTTTTCTATATTTTTCACTTCTTGCGTGAATCAAGTGTGTTTATTTATGTTTCAATAAATTTGTAATTATCTCAAGTGGATATCGATTTGTTTGATTTTTTTATTATCAGAGTATGTGAACACATTGGATATGTTGGTCTTAGATAATTCACAAAACAAGGAGCTACCGTTTATTTGGACGATATCCATATTCATCAGGGTCGGTGTCCGAATGGTTGATCAAATCATCCTTGTTTTTTCTCCAAACAATACAAACAAAATGAGAAAATTGAATTTCTTCGACAATAAATTCTCAAGAGTGATATGAGACCGAGTCAAATTAAACTTATTGAGAAAATTCCACACCTAAAAGTTTCAACAGATTAAAAGTATGTATTTTTTAACTTTACCATAGCAATTAAACGATTTTCCACTTACTTACTCTAAGCTTTGTTAATATTTATCTCCAGGTCTGTGTTAGATTTATCAATTATTGTTTATTTAGGTTATGAATTATTTGCGTTAGTAAAATGTTTTATTATGTTAATGTTTAAGATGGAAATCATAAAGTAAATTTATAAATTGAAAAAAACAGATATTTGTATTGATAGCTCACCTAACTTTAGGATGATACGGTTTTAAAATTTTTCGAAATAGTAGAATTTTTTTTACGGCATCTTTAGAAAACTGAAAAAAGAACTTGACTTTCTACCCTCAGTATCCTCGTTACTGATCCAGATTGGACTCGTGATTTCAATTTTAGTGAGTACATTTCATTGCATTTTCAACGAATTTTGTCAGAGAATAAAATATTTAAGCGAAACATAGGCCAAATCGAACGTATATGCTTATTTATCTCAAAAACGGTTCGTTTCTCGAAAAAAATTGGGAAGCAAAAAAAGCCTCTAAATTGAACGATCTTTGGAAGTTTAAAGGGGATAAAGAAGCCTCTACCTCCAAAAACGTATCACCCTGTAGATTCTGAAAATCTTTGAAATGCTTGAAATGATGATCTTCTAGGAAGTATTGACCACATCGAATTTCAAAATGATATCTTGAAAAGTAAGCGAGATATTTCAATTAATAGAAAGAAAATAATTGAACTTTGACCACCTGTAGCTCCGCTACTGAACGAGATCGGACTAATGTTTATATAAACTTTTTTGATTTAAATGATGAGATCTATCTGCCATTTCAGTTTGTGCCTTAAAACCTGAATCACCCTGTATAAGCAGTACACTAAAATAGGATATTCGGTTTTAATCTTCTCCTGAAGATGCTAACATAGTTAGCGAAACACGTGTCGAGGCATTTAAAAAATCGGTTTGGTTAGGTGTAAAACAGTGTAGTGTATTATCGTGCCATAGGTTCCATTCTTCGTTCCAATATCAATGCTAAATTCTAGCCAATCATTTGGTATCATACTGATGATTTCTTATTAGCAAATTACAGAGATTAATTTTTTCACATGTCAAAATGTGACGTTTTCGTTGTTTCAACCAGTAGCAATGCGTAATTCTAGCCAATTATTGGGTATTATACTGATAAAATTGCATGGTTCTTGATAAAACTTTGTTTACAACTGTCAAAATTAATCTGACTCATCAGTGTTCGCCATCTTATTTCTGTCGACCAATCTCATGTGTAAGTAACAATAAAATCAATTATCAGTTATCTGAGAGAACAAAACGTAACTTCTTAATCGTCCCCCAATTTTTAAACACATATAATGTTTCATTTCATTCGGTTGAAGGTTGTTATATTATACGCTATAATACGACGTACGCATCCTCGCTTGTAGTCACTGCAATGGTATGCCACACACATCACGTTAAGAACCATTTGATCAAACATAAAAGGACATAGTATTTATTTATTTATTGAACAAATAACTTCCAGACAGAATAGGCTCTGGTATAATTTGACTGGTGAAATTTGCTAGTGTCTTTTTATCAAATTGGTGAAAAAAATAATCCTCCCAAATACAAATTTTATCCAATAGTTTTTTATTTTCATCATTCAAACTATTTCATTTGAGGCAAACTTTTTCAAAAAAATCGAATTTGTTAGAGGTTGATACTTGTTTGGTTTCATGCAATGGTAAATACGTAGTCTCATTTATGTTGGCAACACTTTTAGTTGTTTCGTGTTCTGTCTTTCATCATGAAGTTGATAAGAGATACACTACACACTGTGTTACCACTAACTAAACCGATTTTTCTACACCTCGACACGTGTTACACTAACTATGTTAGCATCTTCAGGAGATTTAAACTAAATACTCTATCCTAGTGGGCTACTTATATACTGAGTATATGTCCACCCAGCCGTGAATAGACAATAACCGCCAAGTGGAAGTTATTCATGGTTGAGTTCACATGTTATATTATTAAACTATACAGAGGGCTGAATAGGATAGGTCCATCATCGTTATTCATTACTCTATTACTATTCTTGAATATCTCTAAGCTTTCATATGCATCCAGATTTATAACATTATTAACTTGCTCAACTAATTTTGAGGTTATTATTATGTGTGTTATGATTGTTGAACATGTTCGGCTACACACAATCTATCTAACCTACCATATTTCAAATGTGCTAAATCTTCTTTGAACCTTGTTTTTACATAGTTAGCAAAACACATGACGAGGTGAGAAAAAAATCGGTTTGGTTAGTGGTAGTGTGTAGTGAATTTTTCTGGTGGTAAGTAGATTAGATACTATTCAGATTTCATACTGTAGCTGAACATGAATATGTATTGTACGCAGAGAGAGAAACCAAAAATGTTTTGTAATATTCTACTACTGAAAATTATGAAAATCATTATGCACACTTCTATTCTTGGTGAAATATCTCGAAAACCGTTCATTTTAGCTCAGTTGAAGGTGATGCATTTTATGAACAAAATTGAACAATCAATTCGAGAAATTGAAAATAATCGAAATATCATCAGTGGTGTAAAAAATATGGAATTCAAAGTTACCACAATCCCCTGTAGCGCACCACTGGAGAAAATGACAGAAATAACTTTGTGGTCAAAAATGGACCTATTCGTAGATGGAACCATTAACCGAATTTGAATTCTAAATATTCAACCGTTCTTGAGTTATTGCTGAAAAACTATGTTTATTCCTCAACTCCAACACCCTGTATAAGGAAAACTGAACACTTGAAGACCGTATGTCCCTATCTCAGTCTCAGTAATTATAAAATCACGAAGGCTTCCACCTGTCAAGCGATGTCACTCGAATTTCGAAAAATCCTGTATATCTACTCAATTTCGTTCAGTTTTAATTATATTCAACCAAATAACATTACGTGACAAAATTTAATTGGTATAATAAATAGTTCTTCGAGTTTCTTGTAAGGAAATATAATTTAACCAATGCATTTATGAAAAACTTAGACGCTACTATCTACTTATATTTTTTATTTTTCATTTATATTATTAAAATTTCTTGAACGTTTCTACCTAGTCTTGAGCGACGTCAGACAATCTGGGGAATCATTTTTTTTTTTTTTTCGGCCTGGCAACACTTTTTCGAAGTCAGTCTGTTTCATTCCTAATCAACCTAGGCCGGGAGCCGCAAAAGGAAAATCTTTCAGTGGACAATATTTTTGCAGCAATGAAAATGTAATCAGAGAGTCAATCTGATGACGAAAGTATACAGGGTGTTTCATAATTGAATGCTGATTCTAAAGGGCGATGATCCTTGGATGATTTTAAGGAGAGAAGTTCATATCAACATATGTCCTGAACCTCTTAGTTTTTGAGCTACAGGGTGTTGAAATCAGAAGCGTACAGCGTTTTTTTAAACAAAACATTCAATATATCAGGTCTACGAGGACATCACTGGTAACAGTAAAAGTTTGATTTTCGTCCCAAAACAAAATGTGTTTCCACTTATAGTGGGTGTCTACTGAATTACCCAAAAAAAAAAAATACCCAAGAACTGAAGGAACAAAATTCTTTGGTTTTTATTTTTTTACGCGAAAACGGTACGTTGTATGAAAGTAAGTCAAAGAACCAAATTTGCTACAAAATGAATAAGAATTGAAAAAAAAATCTGGTTCTCAGAAAAATCAGTGGCGTACTATTTTTTTCTTCAAAAATTGTCAGTTCAAACCCCGTACGGACGCCACTGGTGAGAATTTTAAAATATCTTGCACGTAAAAAATGCTCCTTAATAATAAAAAGAATATCATAACAATATCTGAGTGATAAAAAATTATGATGAAAAATTCATC